ATTTATGGCGCACAATTTTTTTCGTGAAAACATCAGATTATATAAACAATTTCTGGGTCCCAGTGTAGGATTCCATCGTGCCTTTTTGATACGGAAATAGGCGCCAAAAAAGTAATTTTACCTAATGCTTACCCCGCCACCTCTTCGTTTTAGAAATCCGACGCAAAAGGCAGGTGACGTCAAAATGACGCCTGACTGGCCGGCATATGATGTTGAATCCGGTTACTACATGGAAATTGGTTTAAAGCAGACGGTCAAGACTAATTATCGCTCGCAGCAGTGCAACTTCTGGAATAAACTTCTATCCTCAGAAATCAAACAGCATCTGTCTAACGAAGGCAGAGGCGTCCCACAGGCTTTCTGTCCGAACCTAGAGCCCTACCTCTACGAGCCAGAGCCCCTGCCTAAATTTGTAGGGTGACTTTTATGTCCCCTGTTTGGGTGATCGGTGGTGGTGGAAATAAAGAAATCGAACGCATGGTCTTTCGTCATTTAAAGAAATGTAAGAGTCTCGTTTCGGGCTCACTGTTGCAAGCGAAAATATCAGCATTCTGCAGTAAGGGACCAGTGGTAATAGAGAGCATATCTGGGGAAAGAAAACAAAGGACAAATGTAGAGCCTATAAAGGAAGTAAATAATGGGCACAATTATTTCAATAATTTAATGTGCGGCGCCCGATAATTAAAATGGCAAATGCAGCCAGTAGGAAACACGAACTGCACAGCAGTACCCGCGAACTGGATAGAATGGTTTATCGACTGTATATCGAACTTTAGAGGTTAAAGTTAAAACATAAAAACCGATTTTTGCCCATTTTTAAACTTACAATAGCTCAAAAGAAACCACATGTCACCAACAAAATAGAATTAAAATGAACTAAAACTCAACTTACTTAAAATAAACTAAACTTAAAACCATTATAACCAAGAACTAAATTCAAAATAGTACAACTATATACAGCAGTCGCCGGTTATTAAGCCCACGGCTAATAAGCCCAGGCGCGAATTAAGACCAGGTCAGCTTAAGACGGAATTTTACATAGCAAAATCCGCCGGCTAATAAGCCCAG